TATCAATAGAAGAATAAGAAAAATAAGGGTATGAAGTGGCTGTTGTGCTAAACCTTCATGATTGCTCTGGTGTCAGTTCTGGACAATGACCACACGAGGGCGAGCTAGTCCGCTGCATGGAGAATCACTTTCAGTTTGTATGAGCGAGAACCACACGCCTGGTCCAGAAGGTTATTATCAGTCCTTTCACTCAGTCCTCCATCTATGCTTCTTTATTTCTTTACTATAAGAAATAAGCTTCCTTAATCTTATGGTACATATTCTTAACATGAGCGACTAAAAAAGTCAAGTTCTGGAGGGCTGGGGTTTCTGTAGGTTTACCAATGACTTTTAAAGCACTAGCACTTGAAGAACTGTGGAAAGTTGGAAAAGTGGTCAAATTAAGCCAGTATTGAGTTAACCATTAAAACCTCAACTGGACAGAAAGCCTGCCAGTTAGTGTGGAAATTATTAAAAGTCAGTAATATCCCAGGATTTGGTAACTGAAATTTAGGAGATCGTCAGTGGACCTTGTGCTGACTCCACGGTGATGTGGGCTAAGATCTCTCCTGACTCACCTCCGTCACTGTGCTCGTTTGAAGCTGATCTTAATCTCTAACACTGAGCTGCAGTTCCACTGGTCCTCTCCTGCTTACAGTCAATAGTAATGAAATTGATAGCCGGAATCTGCACCAATATAATCCTGCAAAGACAGGCTCCTGCACGTTGTGTGCTCATACTGTAGCAGGGCATCTTTTCATAAGGCATTCAAAAAGGGCTATCAGATATTGATCTTGTAAAACCTTTGTCAGCGTTTTTTTTTATTTAAATTATTGTAAATTTCAACACTGCCATTTTAAACGCCTGTCCTTCGCAAGGGACTAAGCCCAAATGTCAATGTCAGAGGTACCTTAGAAATGAGAAGATTGTTCTTTGAAACTAGAGAAGATATGGATAATGCCTTGAATACTGGAGATGAATACTGGGAAATTAAGGATTCAATTAACATGGGGCCATTCTGACTGCATGTACAGAAAACAAATACATTAGATTCACAGAGGTTATCTTTATAAGTGCTTCTATATCGGAAATCAGTGTGCTCCAGAGTTGTTGTCTTAACAGCTGCTGTTGTGCAAACGTCTTAGATATGGGAAAGAGATACAACTTGTGGTTATTTTGGACATCAACAATTTGTTTGAATCCTCCAATGGCGCTTTCTAAAACTCTTTAATGGTTTTAATATAACTCAAATTGGGTGAAATTCAGTTCAATTAAGTCAGATCCCAATGTTAATTAACACAAATGTTAAACGATTAACTTTGATCATAAACTTCATTTGAACACCTCAAGGTAAACTAGACACGAGCAGCCAATAGGAAGTGTTATATTATCTTAAGCAGCATATTGACCTATCAAATCTAACTGACACACAGTCAGGTGGTCATCATCATTAACACTGGGTGCTCCTCTCTTTCCATCCTTGCAGTTAAAAGGGTATGTTTGTTTTAAAAACATAGATCTATCACTATTATTCATGGTATCTTAAAATACATTTGCCAACCGCACAGTAGATTAGAGGTATCAGACACAATTTGCAGAGGTGTTAGTTTGTTTTATATGGTTCTTTTCCAACCTGAGTTATCAGTTAAACAATATGAAATTGAACTTTCTTGTGGTTTTATAATTGACATTGTCATGCATTCACTCAAATGAAGCAAGTTACTTGTTTAACCTCTGAGTATGGTTTTAAGTATCACAGCGGAAAAGTTGCAGTAGATACAGTATGCAATTAGACCAACTATGTACAGTAATTCAGAACTCAGGTTTAACAAAAAACTAGAAGACACCAGACCTTCTTGGAAATGTGTGTGCTACCTTTGCAGGCAGATTGCAGCCATATCACCCTGAAGCTCACAACTGGCAGCCCTCTAAAGCTCAGCAGGTGTGAGCCTAGTCAATACCTGGATAGAA